TGTGTGTGTGTGTGTGTGTGTATAAACACACTGGCCGATAAAAGTCTAAGTACCATTGAGCAATGTCCGTTTAGGTCGAATGCAGAGGAATTCAGACCTCTGTGCCCTTGTGGAGCTGACCCTTCTCAGTGCAGAGCAGATCGCGCCAGTAAAGACAAATGCATAGGAGGCAGGGAGGGGATTGGCCTGAAAACACTGTGCAAATATAGAAAATAAGGAGTGCTTGGCCATGGAAGGAGGGTGCCCAAGGAAGTTCAAGTCCATAGGGGGTTGTCTGTGGAAGGGTATCATCTTGTTGGATGGGGTGAAGGTTAGGAACTGATTCAGAGACAGAATGTAGCTCTATACAAGGAGGACATTTCCTAAGGAATGAATGGCCTGTCTTGGGGGAGTGGATTTCTGGAGGGACAAATGGAAACTGGAGAAAAAATCAGACTCTGAGATTCTTCTGCTTCCTAAGTGTGGGGGGCTTCATTTCAGCGGGGCACACCATGTTACTCGGACACTGGATCGGGCAACAAAGACGAACGAAAGTCCTCGCCCAGGAGGTGCCCACAGTCCCCCAGGGAGAGGGGTGTGCGGTGTATTGTGGAGTTGTTACTGTAAGAGAGGATGAGCAAAGGGAGCCCAGGAAGAGTGTCAGGACAGAGAATGGTGAACTGGACCTTCAGACAGTCGGGGTGTGAATTGCCTTTGGGAATAGTGTGGGCAGGAGGGATAAGGGCACTTCCCTTAAGTGGTGCCCTTCTGCCCAGCCCCCGCCTCTGGGAAGGAGTCCCTGGGTTGAGAAGCACGTGCTTCTGCCACAGGACCTTCTGCTGGAAACGACGTTAGCAAACCCTGCCTGGGGGGCAGGTGTGGGCGCAGGGTGCTCAGCAAATGGGGCGGACCAGGGCCCTGTCCTCTGAGAGCCCATTGAATTGAAGAGCTGATGGGACAGGAGGGGGCAGGAGAAGTGGGGGGCAGGTGAATGCTGAGGCACAGGGCGTGGGGTAACAGCCTCACCTGCCCAGGGAACCACTTCCCAACTTGCCGAGCATTTCCCCTTAGTATGTCATTTGATCGTCACACAAGCCACGTTCGGGAGTGGAGTTGGCGTTACTATTGCCTCCTCCCCTGTACGTGATGAGGGAACCGAGGCTGCCTGACCCGTAAGGGGCAGAGCCGGGCCTGGGACCTTGATCATCGGATCCCCTGGGCTGAGGCAATTTCAGGGAAAGCAGGCCGGAAGCGAGGGGAGCAAATGCATCTTATACCACGGGTCGGTTTGTGCGTAATGAAAAACAACTTAAAATAATACAACAAAATGACCTGATAATTGATACATTTATTGATTGAAGCCATTGACCACGGTGCTGTCAAGATCTGGAGGAGAAAATTTAAAGGAGCGTTTATACTTTTGTGCCCTGGGAGGTCATACCTGGAATGGCAAAGCACTTGGATGCTGGCTTTTTTATTAGGAAAACTACTAAATCTCACTGGGGGAGAAAAACGGGGGGGGGGGGCGATAAAATAGGGATAATAGCACCAGCTTTGTATGCTGTGAATTGAGTAGGGCAATACATACAGAAAGTCCTTTGTCAATTAGGCTGTTCACATTATCACTGTTAATGTACACAGTGCTGGGGGAGAAAAATGATGATGATGATGATAGTTACAAATTCTTAAGCATCTACTGTGTATGGGGTGCCATGGCAGACCCTGCAGTAGGATCGAGTCTCTCTGGGCATTAGGGGCACCTAGTTGGTAGGGGGAGGCCCAGTTTGTTTTGGATTCCTGGAAGAGGCACCCAGCCTGGGGGAGGGGGGAGGGAAGGAGGCACCCCCATTTCTGTATTCATTAAGACTTTCTTGAACACTCACTAAGGTCCTGTATCAGGACAGAAAACATTCCAGGTGGAGGCAGCGACAGAGGTGGCGACTGCCCCTCTCCCTGTCTTGCTAAGGGGTAGGTCCCTCTTTTTACTTTTTGTTGAGAAATTTCCATCCTTGTTGACAGCTGCCTGGGGCCAGGCAGGCTGGGAGGGAGGGGAGAGAGAGCTCTTGAGGCAACCTTCAAAGAGAGAAAGTTGGTGATGTGGGGAAGGGCTCCTCCTGGACTCCAGGTCAGACCCTGGCATATAGTAGGTGCCCAGGAAAAGGGGGTCCTCACGTCCTTCATGAATGAAGGGAAGCATTTTCACTCTTGGTCTTGCCAGCTCTCCGAGGGGAAGCCACGCTGGTGGAGGGTTGACTCCCCCTGGGTGTAGTGGGCAGGGGGCTGCTGTGTGGCTGGGTCACAGGATGGGGCCAGGAAAACTCTGCCAGACAGAGGACTGACTTTCCCCAAAAACCTTCAAGGGAAGAACCGGCCTTCCTGTGTGCGCCTGCTCCTTCTGCCCTCTCCTAAGGGGCTTGGGGGGTGGGGGGGCGCGAATGTGGGCCGAAGTCGTAGCAGCACAGGTGTTTAGGTTTCGTGCCAGATAGGATTCAGCTGGCCCTCCAAGGTCCCAGGGACAGACGGGAGTTGATTGACAGCAGACCTGCCGGGCTGCTGGAGTGCGGCACTTCCCAAACTCTCCAGTGGTGCGAATCACCTTGTTAAAATGCTGACTCTGACTCCTTGGGGGCCAGGCCTGGGACTTTTGCATTTCTAACGAGCTCCTGGATGCTGCTGATGCCGCTGGCCCTGGACCGCACTTTGAAGGAAGGCAGCCCTTGGTGGCCCCCCCACATGTACTCAGCCATCTACTGCTTGCTGGTGCGCTGACCTGCCACCTTGAGGCTGCAGCTCTGCCCGGGGCTTTCTCTGGCCACCTGAGCCGGCTCAGCCTGGACCTATGAAGCCCACTGACTGTGTGAGAGGGGGCTCCATGCCGTGCATCCTTGTCTCTGCTCCTGGGGAACCCCCAACAGAGGTGGTCAGTTGCAACCCACTCTGGCCCCTGAAGCAAAAGAGGAGCTCATTGGGAGCCTATCAGGAGGCTCAAGGACCACACCCAGAACCAGCCGAGGACTCGGGGAGCCCGGAGAGCCCAGGCGCAGGGGACGCAGTGACCAGGAGGGTCTGGCCCAGGGCTGCCCACACCCCTGCCCCCTCTTCTTTGTGTCACTTGATCCTGATTCAAAGCCAATTGGCTCTGCCTGTGTCACCATCCATGCTTCCACTTCCAGAGGACCACTTTGATACTCACAGTGGGGGTGGGCTCAGGCCCCCCAACTAGACCCACAATAGGGGGATTGCCTTTGTACAGGAAGCAGGGTGGGATGCTGAGTCTCCCGGCTGTAGGGTGAAAAGGAGGCAACTGATGAACATCCTGAGCAGTGACTACATCCCCCGCCCCCCAAAGACATGTCTCCTGGGGTTGTCAGCTAGGCTGGATGAGCTCAAGGCAGCCTCCTCCCCCTCCAGGAGGTAGATGTGTTCACAGCCCTTAACTGGAAGCACGTGGGATGGGCACTCCTGCCTGGAAGTTCCTTTGGGCCATTAGCATTTAAAGAGGTGGCCCCTGCCCGCTAGGTAAACAGTAATTTTACTCTCAATTGTTCTGCTCTGGGAAACTTCCTCTCCTGTACATCCTAACAGAAGAAACAGCCAGAAAACCACCCCTAGCTTGAAGGGGATCTAAGCTTCCATTCTGTTCAATTGAGATTATTCCTGCCTTCCTTCTCTCTCCTCCCCGCTCCCCCCCATCCCAGGGGAGGCCTGGGCTGGTAGGACCTGCGGGTACTGCAAGCTGGGAGGATGGAAGGAGCCAGGACCCGTGGCTGGGGGAGGGCAGGGCTCTGAAGATCTGGACTGACTGGGGCTCTGGGAGGGTGAAGCTTGACCTTTGGGGAAAGAACGGAAAGTTGAACTTAAGGGGTCAA